CAGGTAGGCATGCCAACCATATACCAAATCATGTCCCTCAATATTCAATATTCTATCTAGAGCGGGTGTCTATGCTGGATCCAAAGCATATTTTGTTGTTCAAAATACAAGTAGCTGCCAATTCCTAGTTTAGCATTACCTAGAAACTCAACCTGTGTTCCTTATAAGGAAAAAGCTACAGGTTCATGCTAAATCTATAGCAAAGGAATTGATCTTTATTGATACCATTTGATTCCCACATTGATTTGATTAACATTATGTTATCATAACTGATCAAAAGAAAAGAAAACGTGTTCTATGGTGCGTTGCAGCAACATATGAAAGCTGTTTGTATCCCATAAATAGGTAACATGGTATTCCCCCCCCCCAAAAAAAAATTGATATCCCGCCACATGTTTTAAAAGCCTTAGGGCAGTTTTGCTTTGTCTGTTTGAAAATAAAATCAGGTGCTTAGTTAGGTATGGTTTTAAGTTTAACAGGAAAGGTTTTGCTTTTCTTTAAATATAATCTGGATTTAATCTTGATGTGAGTGTAACTGTTAAAAATTTACTTAGCAGAAAGTGTATTTAATTAATTTGTGCATTGTTGGATGTAAGCATCATTGGGTTAGCTTTTGTCCTGTCTTTGACATTTTCAGTTTTAAACCGAGCATAAACAACATTTTAACTATATATTCTATAGATTTCATAGATATAGAAACAGTGGAAAAATAGTTAACTTCTCATGTTTAATAAATGCACTGCATCTTCCCTTTCTGTTTAGCAATTACACAGTAGTCCTGTAAAATTGATACTAACTTTGTAAATAATTGAGAGTTCTCATAAATTAATATTAATATTGATAATCATTTCAATAGTTTGTATTACTGAAAGAAATCATGCCCTATATGGCACCAAATATGATCATACCAATTTTGAAATCATCCACCTTCAGTTCAGCAGAATATTATACAACATTAGGTACTTTTCAGTGGTTGGTTTCAAAAAATTTTAGAATCTATTCTGTAAGTGTGGCCTGTTTTGTGGGAGTGGCTCGGTGATCATTTGACTGGGTGGGCATGACCAAGTTAAAAAATGTGGTAAAACTCACTTAACAACCCTCTTGCTTAGCAACCAAAATTCTGGACTCAATTGTGATCATAAGTTCTCTTTCTCTTTCTTTCTTTCTTTCTTTCTTTCTTTCTTTCTTTCTTTCTTTCTTTCTTTCTTTCTNATTAGGTGAAAACCATGGGAACCTTCAGAGTCAGTTTTCACCAGTTTGTGCCAATATGATATGCCCAATAAACCTGTTCTTTGAGGAACCTGCTTTCTTTAGAATTCTCTTTGTTATGGGTATATTTCTTGGAACCTTGACAATATCAGGATTTATTCAGATCATATTAAATGACAATTTGCTGGTATTTGTAACTGAATGTAATTTTTATTTGAACGTTTCCTTTTTCTCTGTTATTGAGATATGATCTCTTTCTCCACATTCTTTAATAATATAGATCTGTTTGTGAACTTCCTATATTACTCAGTGGGCAATGTGGAACTTTAAATGTTCAAATCTTTCACTCAGATCAGGTGCCAAATTTTATCAGGGTGATTTTGGAGTAGGTCCAGGTTGAAATGGTTTGTTCTGAAATTAGTACAGTTCCAATACTGTGGTCAGTGCAAATCTTTAGAATTAAACCTTTCCATCCACAGAGAAATTCACTTCTCTGCTTCTGTTGAAAAGCTTCCCTTGCTAAAACCTCTTCCATTTTCATTAACTGAAGTATGGCTGTTCATACTTCGACAGCAGTTGCTACAAATTTACTGCAAATATATCCTAGGTCAGGAATGTCAGGACATATTGCAACCGCTCCCCTCACTAAAATGGGGGTGAGGGTGGCCAGTTCATGATGCATGTCTGAAGCCAGCACTGTCCAAAGACATCTCAGTGGTCATGTGGCCGGCATGACTAAATGCTGATGGCACATGGAACGCTGTTACCTTCCCACCAAAGGTGATTCCTATTTTTTCTACTTGCATTTTTACGTGCTTTCAAACTGCTAGGTTGGCAGAAGCTGTGACAAGAAACAGGAGCTCATTCCATTATGTGGCGCTAGGGATTCGAACCGCTGAACTGCCAACCTTCTAATCAACAACCTCAGCCTCTTAGCCACAGTTCCACTGTGTCCTGTTATATTACATACATATAGGTATATGGGAATGTGTGTCAGTTATTACTTATTTGGGTTTAGGGATTCTATTTCTTGCATTGATTGAGTTATTGAGACATATTTTGTATTTCGGGAGGGGGGGGGGAAACTGCACCAAGGGAGACTCATTCAATTTCATTGTGCACATGTTGTGCATCGACAATAAAGGTTTGATTTGATTTGATTTGTTCATTTTAGACCAAGCTGGAACTTGTAAACAATAATTCTACATTATTTTATTTCGATATTCTCCAGAAATTGGTTTTCCATTAGCTTTAAATCTGTTAAGCCTTTTCTTTTCACATGCATTCCTGGAATATAACACTGTGTTTTAAGCGTTTGAATGTTTCAAAGTATGAGAAATCAAGGACAGAATCAAAAACCAAAATTGCTTTTCATATTTCTGTATGTTTAAATAGAATTAGATAAAGGCTTAAATGATAATATATATTAATCGACTAAAATATTTGATATTTTTAATAACAGGGAGGAATGATATTATATGAGAAAATTATAATTATTAGATAGCTGAAGCCTAAAACAATTTGGAAGAAAGAAGCTGATAACTGTTTAAAAAGAAAATATGGATTGATTCCCTAAAACAATCTGTCCTGCATAAACATGGTAAGGAGATATGAATCTGAACATTGTGAATAGTTATTATGTGCCAAATACTTTGGAATCTTACTTAAATGTTAAAATCATGATGGACTATTCTTGATCACATTACTTAATATTGTTATTCCAATTAGGAATGGAAAAAAAGTCATATATTGGATTAGAAAACATCACATTATTCAGTTTGGAATATCTGATTGGGAGAGAAACAAATCTGATTTATAAATATTTAATTTTCTCCATATAATACTGCCTATTTTTTAAACCTCCAATTTACACATTTTACAGCCGGTCCTAGGAATTAGTTAAAATCAAAAATGTGATGTGAAATAACATTACACAACTACTATCCTTAGTATTTTGATTGCAATTTAGTTTCTTTAGTTTCTAGAGCTGAGGTGGCGCAGTGGTTAAATGCAGCACTGCAGGCTACTTCAGCTGACTGCAGTTCTGCAGTTCGGCTAGTCAAATCTCACCGGCTCAGGGTTGACTCAGCCTTCCATCCTTCCGAAAATGAGGACCCGGATTGTTGTTGGGGGCAATATGCTGACTCTGTAAACTGCTTAGAGAGGGCTGAAAGCCCTATGAAGCGGTATATAAGTCTAACTGCTATTGCTATTGCTATCTTTTGGCTGCCTGGAGATGGCAATAGAGCAGTAAAGAAAGAATACTGTTTTATGAGATCAGTGTGATGTTAATGAGGAAAACACCCACCTGTATTTCATTAACTGACATTAATTTACAGTTCAATTGAACCCAGCTAGCTAATTATTTATTAAGAATTGGTTAACTGGGTTCAACTGAGCTGTAAATACAGTAGAACAGAAAAGGATAATATAATATAAAGTCCTCCTGATGACTGGAAAACCCTGAAAATAGAGACAAAAGCATATATCTGTCCTCTTTCTGGTTATTTTCCTTCTCAGTATGAATAATGGTTTTCCCAGTTGCAATGTATGTCTGTGAAAGTTGGACCATAAGAAAGGCTGAGCACAAAAGAATTGAGGCCTTTGAATATTTATAATATTTATAATATTTATAAATCCACTGTTGGATATTTTGGGTGAACTTGGTATTTTTTTGTTTTTAATCTCTTAATCCAATGTGTTAAGAATGAAGAATGACAGCATAAGACATGAAAATGTATAGACAACAATGAAGCAAATTGCAACAACATGAAACAATTTCTGTTTGATCACTTCAACCTGTAATGATAAAGTTTCAAAAATGCAATTTAAATTACATCAAGTTAAATGAATCAAATACCAGGAGAAAAAAGATTAAAGATTGTATTGACTTTTCTCTCTGTCCAAGTGGAGAAGCATCAAGTATAATTTCAGAAGACTTTTTCCAATTAGCAGCAAAAAGTTTTTTGTCTCTCTTTATTGGTAAAGGACATGTGATCCACATATGGCATTCCTAGCATAAATGATTCATTTTTAAAAACATTTTATTTGCTCCATCTTAAATTTGTAAACAAGACAATTTGTGTCTGGAATGTGGTGTTTAGTAATATTTATTAAAATATGTCAGGTTGATTTCCACAAAGGAGTTGACTTTCTTTTATTGTTATGTTTATGATTTGTTAGCCACACAGGCTCATAAAAGTAAAATGAAAAGCCATATAAATTGTATAAACAAACAAACAAAACCTTATCCCGCCCCCCGCCAACAGTGAGTTTGATTTTCAGATATATGATAGCTTTATGGGGCATGTTATAAATACCATCAACTGTTTATAAGGTTGTTTATTTCATATATGCTATGCTTATATTCTGTTAGCCACTCAGACTCATATTGCAAAGCCATATAGAGGTTGTTGTCAAGTTAAGCCCAAAATTTCTGCTTTAAGTGGAACATTTGTTAAGTAGATTTAGATTTAGATTTATTTTATTTGTATGCCGCCCTTCTCCGGGAGGGACTCAGGNAACCTAACCCTAAACCTAACCCTTACCTTTATGTGAATCGGCTTGCTGTAAAAGCGCTTTTTAAAACACCCTTTTTTTCCCGCGGTCGTATTTGTCACGCTGCTGATGACGTCACGTACGGGCTTTAATCAGGCGCGCTTTAGTGGACCGCGGTTTTGACGGGTCACGGAAACAATCAGGCTAATATCATGTCCTTGCTTTGTACTGAGCAACTTTACGTTTTTGATAAGACACAAGATGCTTGAGAAATGACCAAACGCAATACCCACCATGAAGGTTTGTAGTCTGTAAGGTGATGACTCATGTATGCCCCTAAGCTGCTCTTCAAGAGCAAGCAGCCGTTCCTCCAATTGCATTTCTAACTCCTGAAGTTCCATTCGAACCGATTTCCTCAGAGTCTGGAGCTGGTCAGCTTCATACCTAAATCAAAAGTAAGTTCCATGGATCAAAAAGAGTTTTCTCATTGTATAAAGGTAAAGCGGGTGAAACGGAGATGAGCAGCGCTCATCTCCGTTTCAAAGCCGAAGAGCCAGCGCTGCCCGAAGACATCTCCGTGATCACGTGGCTGGCATGGCTAAACACTGAAGGCGCACAGAACGCTGTTACCTTCCCACCAAAGGTGGTTCCTATTTTTCTACTTGTATTTTTACATGCTTTCGAACTGCTAGGTTGGCAGGAGTTGGGACAAGTAACGGGAGCTCACTCCGTTACACGTTGTTGGGCTTCAAATCACCTAACTGCCGACTTTTCTGATTGACAAGCTCACGTCTTAGCCACTGAGCCACCACGTCCCTCTTTGTATGGACCATAACAACTAGAAATATTGATAATCATCTAAAACAGTTGAGGAACCTTAACCCAAGGGACGTGCAGATTGTAGACGTTCAAATGAAGTGAAAAGAGCAGGAGTAAGATGGGTCCAACCTACCTAATTATAACAGACTTGAGCTTTTAAATTCATTTAAACAAGCTAAATATTTAATGTTCAGTACTGTATTTGCCTACAGTATATACAAAGATATCATTTCCTACAGAACAGAGCGATCCAGAATTATTTTCATAATGCTCTGCCCAAGGTGAAGGTGCACTGATAATCATGACCATGTAATGCCTCCAAAAATCTTAAAATAGGAGTATGTTCCAGAATATCACCAGCATTTCTCTCCACCCCAGGTGACTGCACTGAAAAAGGGATGAAATGCTAAGAGGAAACGATGGTGCAAAGTGGATGAGGCCCCATCAAGGACATAGAGATATATCCAAGATTCTTTTTATTTCATGGATTGTTTTTTAGAAGGGTTTGTTTTTTGTTTTTTTTTTGCTTATTAAGTCTTACATTTAGAGCTTAGGCTGCATCTGTACAGAAGGTATGTCACCAATTTTCAGTTATTATGTCAGAGATGGATTCAGGTTTTGTAAAACAGAATTCAGGGGCTACCTAAAAGGACTTTTTCTTGCCACAGCCACAGCCATGGTATTTATCACAGTAGGTCAAACAATCTACAGGAACTGATTGTAACACAATGCTTTCCTCCTAGAACATTTTGTGAATAAAAAGGAGGGATTCAGATTAAATTAATAACTAGCCCCCAAAAGTAGATAGCCTTGGGATCACTCAGTTTTCCCGCTAAATGTACTTCAGTGATTGGCCATTGCCTTTTTTTTTTACAAGATTTTTTTTAATTATAAAAAAAACCTGTCTTAGTTTACAGCCAAGAATTTATGTGGCATTAAGTGATAATGAAATCTGCATCATTTTTCCAGTCAAGATTGACTATAAGTATATTAAAAAATATAGTTGTACCAATACTATACTTGCTATCCAACGTAGTATGGATAAAAATAAATTTCCCAAGGAAGATTGGGATCTTCCTTGTTGGAAACATCCCAAATCCAAAGGACTAGGAACTTGAACTGATGAATGAATAACCAAAGAGAAAGAAACTACCAAGGGAAGAGATCATAGCAAAGGACAAAAAAATTGATCCAGTCAGAAGTATTTGGAGCAGAGTGAGCAGGAGAAAGATGGCAGGAAAAGAAAATGCAGTGTGAGAATAGGTGCAGCAATTTAACATCAGTGGTGATCACAATAAATTGTTTTAGCAACAGAAGCAGAAGACTGTACGAACAGAGGACGAGCAGTGGGATTTTTATTTTGTTTAGGTGGACAAGAAGGAGAACCATGTTTAAGGTTAATTTAAGATTGCATTACCTAGAAGGGAAAAGAAAGTGCTCAGAGAAAGTAATGTATGGGAGGATTTTAGTAAAAGAGAATGGGAAGAATTCTTTATTGCCACATTTACCTCTCATCTTCGGTCATGTGTTGATAAACAGCAGTCTGCTGGCGCAACATGGCCAATTCTAAATCCATCATTTGAGTTCTAAAGATGTTTAGGTTCCTTCTCACCACTTGAAGATCCTGGAATGTATTCTAGAGAAACAGACACAAACACACACTTGAGCTCCAGTTTGAAAGACAATATCCTGGCAATATATTCTCCTGGATGTGTGTGTGTGTAATAAGGATGTGTGTGTGTGTCTGTGTGTGTGTGTGTCAGAAAAACTGAAAATCCTGCATTGTAGACTGACATTCTTTCCCTCTAGCACCTGCTAAAGGATTCTTCATTCCACACAAAAAAAAAAACCTCAGAAAGAGGAAGATGAAAACAGTCTAGGATCAGAATATCGGCCACTAAGCAATGGAATTGGGAAGTGTGATGTCATGTGACTGCATCACTTAGCCATGGAAACCTTAGCAGTCTCCACTGCCATCCTTAGGTAAGGACCTCGCGGGACAGCAAGTTGCGACTTATTGCTGGGGAAGCCAGCAGGAAATCGCAAGTCCAGGGTGGCTTGCAAGCAGGCGAATGGGTGGGAAGTGTAATGGCGTGTGGCTGTGCAGGGGGTGCTGTGGCACCGTGGAAGCACGGCTAGGCAGGCAAGCGGGCAGGCATACAATATGAAATGTGGGCAAGGAGGCATATGTGCTATGGTGTATGAGATCTCTAAAGAGGGCTCTTTGGGATAGGAAGTGGCAGGAGTAACTTACCAGAGAGACTTGTTACCTTTCCTACCAGCTTCCCCATTGACTCGGCTTGTGGGAAGCTGGCAGGGAAGGTCACAAAGGGCAATCACATGACGACGGGACACTGCATCTGACCTAAGTGTGAGCCAATGGCCAAATGCCCAAATCAAGATCGTGTGACTGTAGGGATGCTATGAAGGCTGGAACTTCAAGGACCAGTCGTATGTACCACTTGTTCAGCACTACTGCAACTTCAAATGGTCACTGAATAAGTAGTCCTTAACCAGGGACTATTCTTACGTAAAAGTACAATCAATACATGTTAGCAATTAATTTTTTTTTCCTTTTTGAGAAGGAAGACAACAGCCAACTAAAATTCATCACAAAAAGGCTTTGTTGACATACATTTGTACTATATACCCCCGATGGCGAACCTATGGCACATATGCCAGAGGTGGCACACAGAGCCCTCTTTGTGGGCATGTGTGCCATTGCCAGCTGCTCTTCTGGTTTCCGGTGTATGCATGCACAACGGCCAGCTGGTCTTCACGCCAGCTGGTCTTCACGCACGGTGGAACCTGAAGACCAGCTGGATGGTGCATGTGTGTGTGCTGGCCACCTGGTCTTCGGGTTTCCAGCACATACAAAGACCAGTTGGCCGGTGGGCCTGTGTGCACTGGAAACCCAAAGACCAAGTGGCCGGCACGTACATGCACACTGACCAGCTGGCGTTCGGGTTTTTGGCGCCGGGCATGGGCATGCACACATTCCATCACTGCTATATACATACAGGTAACATGGACACCCTGGAAATGGCGTCTTTTATGGATGAAAGGAAGAAAAGTGCCATTTACTTCATAGAGAGGTAGAATGGATGATTTCTGAGTGCTGTAAGAGGCTCCAGTGAAGTCATGCGTTCTCATCGTAGTGTTCTAGGGAGAAGAAACACAAACATACAACCGTCAGATCATTTTAACCCCCAGAGGCAATGAGAGTCAAGCCGCGACACAGCAGGCAATGTGAGAATGAGTCATGGACTTACAAAAGGTGCGATGGGTCTTGCACCTTCCACTTTTCTAGAACCCAACTTGCTTGGTGAATTCGGCGTACGTGTGTGTGTGTGTGTGTGTGTGTGTGTGTGGTGACGTGAGGAACAGATTTTTGATCCTCAGCCTCCAATCTCAGCCCCTCCCTCAAAACGAGCAGTGTTCCCTCCATCCCTTTCTCTCTCTGCAGATGTGGGATTACCCTTCAGATTGACTCTGCCTCCATGGCAGAATCCTAGACTTCTGAAGAATGTGTTGACATGTGCAAGGANATAACCATTTGTCTGAAATGGTATAGGGTTTCCTGCCTGGGCAGGGGGTTGGACTAGAAGACCTCCAAGGTCCCTTCCAACTCTGCTATTGTATTATTAAAGGATTGAACTCCAGGGTGTGGGTAGAGGCAGCCTACAATATTGCATTCTAACCACGGCTCTTATTATCAATATATCTGATTTCATTCATCAATTTATCTTCTTTTTAAACAACTGAATCATATATAGTTTTTAATTAGTATGAAGTAACTATTTTTTTAAATCAAAAATAATTAGAAAAATATTCAGAAAAGAACATTGTAGCTCATTGTAGATACTGAAAGTTTTGGCAAACTTTTAATGGACTGAACTTAGCACCTGATAAAACTACTTTAGCTGTTGGAAGATAAAGAATAGAGTTATAGAACTGTGTAAAACAGGATTCTTAATGGGTTTTAATATTTTAATGCATGCCACTATTGCAAAACTAAAATCCAAATAAAACTTACTTTTTTGTTTTCAAATAAAAAATAAAATATTTTAAGAGTGCATTCCAATAAACATATATTGAGGCGCAAGAACCATTGAATTCATTGGGACATACAAACAGTATAGCATTTATTATTTAAATGATTGTTACTATTATTTTATGATTACTTTATTAGTACATAAAATGCACCGGTTTATCAATATTTAATGAGGAAAAAGATTTAAATAAATATGACTTGAAAATATTTGACTTTACTGCCCTTCTTGGAATGCTCTGACTTTCCTCTATCCTTGAGGTGAGATTCAGGACTGGAATCCAAAATTTCCCACAATCTGCTCATGGCAAGCTTCCAATCGCTTCCCTTTTTATCTCCCTTGATGTAGAGTAAAAGAAGAAGGAAAAAAAGGTTTTATTTGTTGTACCCACAATTCTTAAAACTTATTTCTACCTGTATAATCTGAAGTTTTTAAATTGCATTAAGCTTCAGATTCTTTGCAGCTTAAACAGCAACTGAAGATTTTAACAAGAAGCACAAGGCAGGATCTGCTGTTGCGGTTGAAGATCTTCTTTCCTTTTTTCTTCTTGCCACCTCAGAATCTTTCTTATTTCTCACTGTCAACTTTCTGAGAATCTCTTTTCCCAGGACAAGTGAAATGATACTATAAATTATATATCATTCATGCTTCTTGCTTCAACTGTAATAAAACAATGTCTAATCTAGATCAAGACCATCAAAAATTGCATACATACCTATGTGTATATTCTTTTTGGAAGAGTATAATTGCTTATGATGATGAAGAGACTGTCTTAAACCCCAACATGAGTACATTTTTCTAACAGAAACAGAAGAAGGTAGACCTTTTTGGAAGAAGTAATATTTTCTTCCAACCTATGCATAGGGATCCCAATCTGGACTAGATACTATTTGGTTCTGGTGACAGAAATAGCTAGAAGTGTTTAGTTTGTCAGTCCCAGGGGTGGGTTTCAACTGGTTCGCGGCGGTCCCTACGAACCGGTTGGTCGGCGAACCCGGAAGTAAGTAACTTCCGGGAACGGCGAAGGGCGCGCC